AACATTGGGAAATATGGGGAATATCTTTATCTGTGCGTATTTATTTGTGTGTCCCAGGGCCCCTTCAGCAGAGCCCTCCGAGGGAGCGGAGGACACGGCACGGGCCGGGCGGGCGGCGACCCCGGCCCGTTGCCGGCGGGTTGCGCGCAGCTCCAGGGCCGCGGCTCTCGTGATGTCTGGAGCTCGGCGGTGCGTGTGCTCGCGTGAGGGGGCAGCTGCGCTGCGAGGGCGTCTCTCTTTGTCCCACACCTATGGGAACAAAAAGTGGCATAAACATAAAAACTTGGAGGTCCGCGCGGATTTCTCGGATCGGCGCTGGACCCCCCTCTCTGGCGCGCGGAGCGCGCCAGGGGCGGCGCCGGAGGCGCCGCTGGGGGGCCCCAGCGCCGATCCGAGAAATCCGCGCGGACCTCAGAGTTTTTATGTTTATGCCACTTTTTGTTCCCCTAACATCGATGCGCGGCTCTTCGGCCGCGGCTCTCGTGAGTCCGTGGCGCACCTGTGCTTTTCATGCGTTTCGCTTCCATGGGAAATGCCATCTCATGCATCGACGCTAGACTCAGTGCCCAGCGGCACGGCGGCGGATCTGCGAGAGGCTTGCGCCGTTCCACCGACTCCCAGCAGAACTGTGCGGCGTCCTCCTCTTCCGTCGCGTCTACTGTGGGGCTTCTTGGGAGGCTCTTGGAGGCCCAGGGGCCATCCTCGTAGAGCCTGCTGCAGGGCTCCTGCCGGCCTTGGGGGGCCCTCTGGGTTCTTCTGGGGGGCCTCTTGCGGGCCCCTCATCCAGGGCGCTGAACGACGGCTGACGGCCCGCACGATCTGCATTACATGACCGAAAGTGCGGGGATCGCCGATGACAGGGGCATTTGAAGAGGTACGAGTGCGCGCCACGTGCCACTTCACCGCCGCGTGGACAACGGGGTCCAGAGGCGGGTGGCGGGGGCCCCTTGGGTGCATGTGTGGGGTTTTGGGAGCCGTCTTTGGAGGGACTGCGGGCTCCCTGAGGATTCCCGTTGTGGCCCTTGGGGGCCCGTTCGAAGCCGTGCTGCGTCGTCTTGGGAGCCTCATGGGCTGGCTGGAGCCCTCTTGGGAGCCTCCTGGGTCGTCTTGTGCGGGTCTGAGGGGTTGCGCGGGTCGTCTTGGGTTTTCAGAAGCCCGAATCGACAACAGCTGGCAGGCCACAGAAAGAATGAGCATGGCCCCTTGGGGCCCTTTTGGGGCTCCTCTTGAGGTACTCTTGGGGCGTCTTGGGGACGCTGTTGGACCGTCTGAAGCCATCTTGGGTGTTCTTGAGGCCCAGCCAGCGTGTTGGAGCCCGTCGAGAGCCCTCTCAGAAGCTTGGCGGCCCCGGGGGGTCGATTTGCGGGTTCCGAAGGCTCCCGAGTTGCGTAGTCGAGCTCGCCCCCCCCCCCCCCCGAAATTTCAGTTTGGATTCAGGGGAGGGAGCTGGGGTCGGCGGGTTCATCTTGCACACACCAGTCTTCTACATTTATCACGTCGTTTTCCATTCCATCTTTCAAACGGTTGCATCGTGTACCCGACACAGTGAAGCATTGTAGGGCATGCGGTGCATTGATGCGGCCGGCGCGGTGCACTCAACGTGGTGCAACCTGTGATATGCGACGCATGCGGCGCCAACTACGTAGTGCAACCCATATTGTACACAGCATGCGAAACACCAGTGAAAGCCAACACAATCTCTCCAGAGCAACGCAGAGCAAAGCAGTAGGGGCACCCATGGCGCAAGGCGTCGTCGCAACCAATGGAGCCAAGAGTTTATCGGACCCCCAGAGTAACCCATGGGCGCCCATACATTCTGCGCCCGGCCAGCGCAACCCACGACGCAACTCATATTGGCGCTAAGCTGTGGCGTCCACAGATTCTGCGTCACCCCCATCACAACCCATGGCGCAACCTGTGGGCGCAATCCACTCCACCCAGCCATTCCGCGGCACCCAAACCGCAACCCGCGGCCCAACCCGTGGGCGCAAATCATGACGCCAAGAAGTTTATGCCACACTTCGTGTCCACTTCCCCGGGGACGAAGTCGGGATCCCCAAGGTCAGCCCTTGATTGGGGAAGCATCCATGTAACGTTCGCTGAATCCCCTGCTCAAGCATCCGCTCCAACCTTCGCATCGCAATAGTCGTCCGAATGTGACCTTTGAAACATCAGCTTCGACGTCAACTTTTGCCATGCTGACTGTGATCCTCCATTGCCCCCTCCCCCTCTTTCTCCTCTTCCCCTCCTCCCCTTCCTTCTCCTTCCCCTCCTCTCCCCCGCCCTCGTCCGAAACCGCCCCACATTGTCTGTCCCGAGCGCCGTCTGATGACCACCCCTGTGGGTGCACGTTCCCTCCATTCCCCCCTATCCTCCCCTTTCCCCGCTCGTCCCTCCCCGCTCGTCTTCCCCGTCCCCCTCCTTACTCTTCCCCTCCGCTCCCTCGTCCTTGTCCTCCTCGTCTTCTTTTCCCTTCCCCCTCCCCCCCGTCCCCCTCTCGCCTCCCCCGTCGCCCTCCCTCTTCCTCCACCCTCCTCGTTCCTCCTCCCACCTCTACGGTTCTACGGATCTGCGGTTTTCACATGATGGTTCATGACCGAATCGTGTTTCATTCGCATGCGCAAGAAAAGTCAGGCGCCTCCCCGCGCCCCACGCTGCAGGCGCAGCGCTCTTGAGCACGGTGTCTTTGAAAGCTGCAATAGGGGTCCTTTCGCATGTAAGAATCCTGGGCCTGATGGGGACAGTTGGTACGAGCACTCCCCTCTGGGGTCCAATCGTTGAAGTCCTGCCACACGCATTCAACCAGACACTTGCAGCAAAGCGCAGGTGGGTAGGTCTGAAGTGTCGCGGTCCGAAACCCTCCGCACACTGTTAGTCCCGAGCGCCGTCTGATGACCACCCCCGTGGGTGCCCCACCGCCCCCTTGCCCCCTCCTTCCCTCTCCCCCCGCTCGTCCCCTTCCGCTCGCCCTCCCCCTGTCGCCTCCCCATCCCCTTCCTTCCCCTTCCCCTCCTCCCTCGTCCTCGTCCTCTTCGTCCTCCTCCCCCTCCCCCTTCCCCCTTCCCCCCATCCCCCCTCGCCACCCCCGTCGCCCTCCCGCTTCCCCCATCCTCCTCATCTGGTTTGGTCTGGTCGTGCGAACCAGAGTGGGGCGCGTCGTGCCGATGCCCTGGGCGAAGGGCAGCATGGCTCCGCCCCAATCGCGCAAGGCTCTGGCAGTGCGGCAAGTGCCCTGCGTGCTTGCCGGACACGCAGCCGCGAAGCAATTCTCGGGGCCGCCGCAGCACCGCGCCGGCCTCCTAGCCCAGAGGCGGCGCGCAGGTGCGCGGCGACCCCGGTCGTTTCCCCGCCCCCCTCCCCCCCGCAGGGCGACGCGATCTGTGCATGGCCACCGCCGTTGGCCAGGCCCATCCTGGGCCCAGGAGCTGCGCGTGTGGGCCTGGCCCGCGGCGGTGGACATGTATAGATCTCGTCGCCCCTCCTCCTCCTCCCCCTCCTCCTCCTCCTCCTCCTCCTCCTCCTCCTCCTCCTCCTCCTCCTCCTCCTCCTCCTCCTCCTCCTCCCCGCGTCGCCTCCTCGCCCTGCCCCGGCCGCCGAGGAGCGCGGCAGCGAGGAGCGGCAGGCCACGGGCGGACGCGTGCCGCGGGCGGCGTACCGGGAGCGCCGTGGCTCGAGGGGCCGTGGCGACTCGGCCGGGAGGAGGAGCCAGGATTAAGTCGGGCTTGTCCTTCTACAGGAGGGACATTCAAACATCGTAAAGGCAAAGGATGATTGCCCTACTATTTTTGGTTATTTTTGAATGCATCTGTCTGTCTGTCTGTCTGTTTGTTTATTTGTATGCATGTATGTATGTATGCATGCATGTATGTATGCATGTATGTAGATAGGCGGGTATGTATGTATGTATGTATGTATGTATGTATGTATGTATGTATGTGTGTGTGTGTGTATGTATGTATGTATGTATGTATGTATGTATGTATGTATGTATGTATGTATGTATGTATGTATGTATGTATGTATGTATGTATGTATGTGTGTGTGTGTATGTATGTATGTATGTATGTATATATGTATGTATGTATGTATGTATGTATGCATGTATGTATGTATGTATGTATGTATGTATATATGCATGCATGTATGTATGTATGTATGGATGGATGGATGTATGTATGCATATGTGTATGCATGTATATGTATGTATGCATGTACGCATGCATGCATGCATGCATGCACGCATGCATATATGTATGCATATATGTATGTATGTATGTATGCATGTATGTATGTATGTATGTATGTATGTATGTATGTATGTATGTGTGTGTATGTATGTATGTATGTATGCATGTATGTATGTATGCATGTTTGTGTGTGTATGTATGCATGTATGTATGTATGCATATAATGTAATATAATGTGATGTAATGTGTATTGTAATGTAATGTAATGTAATGTAATGTATTGTAAGGCACTGCCATGTAATGTAATATAGTGTAATGTAATGTAATGCATTCATGTATGTATGTATGCATGCATGTGTGTATGCACATATTTATGTATTTATGTATTTATGTATGCATGTATGCATGTATGTATGTATGTAGGTTGGCATGTAGGTAGATAGGTAGGTAGGTAGGTAGGTAGGTATGTGTATATGTGTATGTATGCATGTATGTATGCATGTATTTACGTATGCATGCATGCATGCTTGCATGCATGTATGTATGTATGCATGCGTGTATTTATGTATGGATGGATGAATGTATGTGTGTATGTATGGATGAATGCATGTATATGTATGTATGTATGTATGTATGCATGCATGCATGCATGCATGCATGCATGTATGTATGTATGTATGTATGTATGCATGTATGTATGTATGTATGTATGTATGTATGTATGTATGTATGTATGTATGTATGTATGTATGTATGTATGTATGTATGTACGAATGTATGTATGTATGTATGTACGTATGTATGTATGTATGT